AGAGAGAGAGAGAGAGAGAGAGAGAGAGAGAGAGAGACCATAACTCTCCGATCTCGCGGCTCGCCATGCTACTTCCATCGATGGGATGAGAAACTTCCAATGAATCTTCGGCTAGAACATGGAAACATACACTACCTGGTTGAATCTTCAGCTCTCTCTCTCTCCCGCCGTGCGTAAACTGCACCGTAGGTAGCACCAAAGGTAGATCGCAAGACCGCGCACGCACACACACACACACACACGCACACACACACATACACGCATGCACGCAGAGGTCGCAGAACGTCGCGGCGAGTCGACCGACACAGCAATTCGCCCCCCCCCCGGTACGTGGACCGCGCCTAGATGCTTCCAAAATCGCCTCGCACATCGAAAAAAAAGTGCGCCCGTACGTACACCGCGCCTCGCGGGTTTGGGCGGGGCGGAAAGTCCTAAAAAAAAAAAGTGCCCCAAGTGCCCCGTGGGCCCGCCCCCTTACCTCGGCGCTATTCCCAACACTGGGCAGCGGGTCTCCGTGGGAGCGTTACGCGAGACCCGCCGCACGCTTTAGGAGTATTAAGGATAACCCTGTTCAGAAATAGCCTGGGGCCCAGAACTCAGCCCCAGGCCACGCAGACCTGAGATGGTCTGCGCTGGGCTGTGTGACCAAGACACGCCCAGGCCTGAGTCTGTCGTGAATGGCTGTGTGACCGAACACTGCACACAGGAAATTCAAGGGTCAAAGTCAACTGTAGAGTCAGAGGTACCGCACCCAGGCCCTTGGTTGGATACAGTCACTTGTTGTGTGCAGGTACCCAGACAGCATCCAGGCCGGAGAGAATTCGGTTTCAGACCAATCTGGGCCCTCGTTTGCATTGAGATCTGGACGATTGAGGAATGCAGCAATCGGGGTCCAGACCCGGCGTCAACGCTACATAAGCGCTGACTTCCTGGCTTTGACATTTTTCAATCTGTCTTGCGTTGATGCTGACTTCACGCGTTGACTTCAACGCTGGCTCGACGCTGCGACGCTGGCTCGACGTTGCGACGCTGGCATTGTGACTTGGCGAGGTGCTGCTAGTCCGGCATGGTGGCCGGCTTGCTCCTGTCTTCTTGGCATGCTGACGTGGCAGCTGCCCTGCGCTGTCGCTGTTGTGGCTGCTGCCACGTGTATCATTGGCTGACGTGGCTGCTGCCACGTGTTCTATGGCTGGGACTACGTGATCGGCATTGCTGTTCTGTTTCATCATCACTTCAGGAGGAGATCAGGACTGTGGAGAGTTTGTGGATACGTACCTGGCTGTCTTCTTGTCGACCTTGCTCCAGTGCTGATGTGGAACTGATTAGACGTGCCACGTGGCACATTGAGGATACTTCAGATACTCGTTCAGACTATTGATTATTGAGGTGGTAGTAGAGGAGGGAGCCCGAAGCAGGAGTGGGCATTGTACTTTCCTCTCCTTTGTCTCTTCTCCCTCCTCTCTTTTCGTCTGTGTATGATTACCTCATCTCATTCTGTCTGGTTACGATTTTGACTACTAGTAATCATCAGCCAATGGACATTTGTCTGGGCTTGCATTGTTGACAACTGTCTTCACGATCTGGGTTCATTACATTAACCCCTTCGCCCCTCTTGACAGCCAACTCTTAAAGCAGAAAATGAGTCCGGATTTGGGGTCTTCTGGGAGAGCGCAGAAAACAAAAACCTTTTTTTTTTTTTTTGTGGCACGCCCGGGTACCCCAGGCGTCATACCCCCCTGGGCGTCATGCTCGGGTGCCCGACAGCGCAGGTGAAAATCTTCCTAGATATAGAACGGATAACAGCATGGAAAACTCAGATGGTTTTCTTTTGTTGTCCTTTTTTGGGCTCCTTTCTACCTGCTTTTTTTTTTTTTTTTTTCCCTGCAGGGCCTACATGCTTTTCAGTGGCAGAATGATTTGAGCAGTTTCTTGTTTTTGAATTTGGTTGCAGATCGTGCTGATTGACCAGGGTGAACGTTTCCTTTTCAAGCCAATGCTGTATGAGCTGCTCATCAGAGGTGAGAAGTAATTACTACCATCTTCACCCCGGTAAACTTACGGGGATTTTCCTTTTTGGCAATGTTTCAAGGGTTTTCAAAAAAACTTTCCGGAAACCGGGATAATTCCCCCTCCTCCCCCTCCCCCCGATTATTCGGTGCGAATATCCACCCTAGATATCTGGACCATCTGGATCCTGATCTGGCTGGGTTCCAGAATAGTCCAGTTGTTTAAAAAAAAACGGGTGATGGCCTTTAGATATCATCATTGAACTGACCGCCCCCAGGGCCCCATGCAATTCAGAATGATTTTGTTCTCTTCATCTGAGGGTATCTGGATTTAAACTTGGGTCTTTATTTCAACAGTTCCTGGCTGTGTAGTATGTACCAACTGAGCTAGACCCGTTGGTGGACAATAGTCCAGGTTTTTTTTTTTCCTTGTTTTATTAAATTATTACCAAAGAAGGGAATAAGGCAGGGCATCCCTCCACAAACACAGGTCTCACTTTAACGTTCACCGTCTGCAGATCATTGCCAATGTTTTTGAAACTTTCAAACTTTTTAAAGTTTCAAACTTTGAAGTTTTAACTTTTTGAAACTTTAAAGTTTGAAACTTTGAAGTTCGAAACTTCAAAGTTTGAACTTTCAAGTTTGAATTTTTATAAAGTTTGAAAAAGTTTCAAATTTTAAGGTTTGAAGTTCAAAGTTTTTAAAGTTTGAAGTTAAGGGTTTAGGGTTTAAAGGTGAAACTTCTGAAGTGAAAGTTTGAAAACTTTCAAACTTCAAACTCGGGTCTTTGGTTTTAGTTTAACAAAGGTCAGGAGACCATTGCAGATGCGAAACCGCAAAGGTTGGGAAACCATTGCAGATATTAACGGCCTCGCCGCAATTTTTGGCTCTCACTTCCTGCAATTAAGAAAACTGAAATTCTGAAACTAATCAACAAACATACGGTACAAAAAAAAAGCCATAGTAAACTAGGCTACCAGGTGGCCCGGTGTCAGGCGGCCACAAGCAGTGCGCCGCCTGAAATCTACGGTTTAGGGACTTAGGCTCAAAGACAAGTCCATGCAATGACGGTACTCTGGTTTGACCATGCAGCAAAAATTAGGGGCACCCCGAGTACCCCTAAGATTAGATATGACGACCGTTGAGACTAGCTCTCGAAATTGATAAGAAGGACTACCTTACCGCGGCGGCGTCTATCTCAATA